AATAGCTGTATCCAGGTGGGCTAAGCGGGTAAAGGCGTTTGCTGCTAAGACTGAGTTTGATCCCAGAAGAAAACCAACTCATAAAAACTGCCTTCTCACATACACTTACAATGTAGTACAGGTACGGACATACACATCTCACACAAACAAATGTTAAAAAAAAAAAAATCCGGGGCTGGAGAGATGGCTCAGAGGTTAAGAGCACTGGCTGCTCTTCCAGAGGTCATGAGTTCAATTCCCAGCAACCACATGGTGGCTCACAACCATCCATAATGAGATTTGGTGCCCTCTTCTGACCTGCAGGTGTATATGCAGACGGAACACTGTATACATAATAAATAAATAAATATTTAAAAAAAAAAAAAATCCACAAAAGCAAAGCCCAAATGATAACCCCAAATAGGAAGAGTTATGTTAATGGTTAAATCTGGGATGCTGGGGGGAAAAAAAAATGGGTCTGGAGGGATGGCTCAGTGGTCAAGAGCACTGGCTGCTCTTCCAGAGGACTTGGGTTCGGTTCCCAGCATCCACGTGACAGCTCACAACTGTCTGTAACTCCAGTTTGAGAAGATCTGACAACCTCACACAGAGATCCATGAAGGCAAAACACCAATGCACATGAAGAGAAAAAAAAAAAAAAAAAAGAAGGCTGGGTTGCTGGGTGGTGGTGGCACACACCTTTAATCCCAGCACTCGGGAGGCAGAGCCAGCTGGATCTCTGTGAGTTCGAGGCCAGCCTGGTCTACAGAGCAAGATCCAGCCAGGAAAGGAACCAAAACTACACAGAGAAACCCAGTCTTGAGAAACCGCAAAAAAAAAAAAAAAAAAAAAAAGAAAGAAAAAAGAAAAAAAGGGGGAATGGGGGAGTGGAGGGCTGGGTTGTGAACAGCTGGATACAAGGCCCTGGTCTTCTAGTGACGGGTTCTAGGAGTGGTCTTAAAATGGAAGGAGTGGAAAAGCAAAGACTTGAGCCAATTTAACAGGGAAATGTTGATTTCAGGAAAATTAACTTCCTAGCGAAGGTTTGATGAACTCTCGTCTTAGAAGTTGTACAAAGCAGGGAGACAATCGGCAGTGGTTTTCTCTTTTCTTTTCTTTCTTTTTTCTTTTTTTTCTTGGTTTTTTGAGGCAAGGTTTCTCTGTGTAGGCCTGGCTGGTCTGGAACTCGCTCTGTAGATCAGGCTGGCCTTGAATTCACAGAGATCCACCTGCCCCTGCCTCAATTGAGGAATTGCCTCCATTAGACTGACCTGTGGGCACATCTGTAAGGTGTTAATGATTGATGTGGGCGGCCCAGCTCGCTGTGGGGGAAGCCACATCGGAGCAGGTAAAATAAAAAAGCAGACTGAGCAAGCCATGGGGGCAAGCCCAATAAGCATCGTTCCTTCAGGATCTTTTCTTCAGTTCCTGCCTCCAGTTTTCTGCCCTGCTTGAGTTCCTGCCTCGGCTTCTGTCTTAGTTACTTTCCAGTTGTTGCAACTTGACATCATGACCAAGACAATTTATAAAAAAGTATTTAACTGGGGGGCTCACGGTGTGAGAGGTTTCGAGTTGGTCACCTCAGAGAGCATGGTGACAGGTGGGTAGGCGGGCAGGCATGGCGCTGGAGCAGTAGATGAGCTTACGTCCAATCTACCAGCACAGGAGGCGGGGCGCAGGGAGGAAATGGAATGGTGTGGGCTTTTGAAACCTCAATGCACACCTACTCTTTCCCAAACAGTTCCACCAACTGGGGACCAAGTATTCAAATATATAAGCCTATATAAGGGGACCATTCTCATCCACACCACCACAGCTTTGCCAGTGATGGGCTGTAATCTGTAAGCAAATTAGTCCTCTCCTCCTCCAAGTTGGTGTTGGTTAGTGTTCATCACAACCACAAGTAGCAAAACAGGATACTGTCTTAAACAAACAAACAAAAAAAACAAACAAAAACAAAAATAATCGAGGCAGAGGATGGAGCTCAATAGTGGACTACTTACCTACCATGTGCAACCTCTGGATTCAGTTCCTGTTAGGAAGGAACCTAATATCTGTCATCTGCCCAGAAAGCTAAATCGGACCTGCTTTCCAGCCTTTGCTCTGTCTGTGTGGATAGAGACTTCTCCAGCTCAGGACACGCCCCCCAGACCCTTATGGTAATTTTGTTTTTCTCAGTCATTCTATAGAACCTATCTTTATGGGTTTTTCAGTGTAGTCACATCTGATCCGCATTTAGCTTACTTTGTTCCTCAAGGAGATTTATGTATGATTTGTTCTACATATGGGATTGCGTTAATTATTACCAGAATAATTTTCACAAAATTGTGCTGTGCTTAAATATGCCTAAAATTAAGCATTCAGGGTCAAAACACCAGAGGTTTGAACCTGGCTATTGAGTATTGAGATAAATTCCTGTGGCTTGTCTCTCTACAGCCAGTGAAGGTCACAGAGACCCCGAAATCTCCCTTAAGTTTTATATCAACAGAGTTACCCATGTGTCTTAGGGTTTCTATTGCTGTGAAGAGACACCATGACCACAGCAACTCTTATAAAGGAAAACATTTGAGGTGACCACTTACAGTTTCAGAGGTTTAGTAAATTATCATCATGGTGGGACATTTTGGCGTGCAGGCAGACATGCTGGAGCGGGAGTTGAGAGTCCTACATCTTGATTCAAAGACAACAGGAAGTGAACTGAGACACTGGGTATGGCATGAGCATATATGAGATCTGAAAGCCTGCTTCCACAGTGACACACTTCCTCCAAAAAGACCACACATACTGCAACAAAGCTACACCTCCTAATAGTGCCACTCTCTATGGGGGCCATTTTCTTTCAAACCACCACACCATGGCTTCTAATAGAAACCAGATGGGCCCAGTGTCAGGTACCGAAGGACTTGATTCAGGCAGTCCTGGATATACCTTGTTTTCCACAGCTGTGTGGTCCAGGACAAGTGAATTAAGGTCTCTAAGATTTTATACCTTCACTTGAAAACAGAGTAAATGCAGGGTATGGTAGCTCACACCTGTAATCATCACACTCGAGAGGCTGGAGCAGGGCTCTGATACAAGTTTGGGCTACATGGCTCTAGGCCTGGACTACAGAGCAAGTCCCCTGCTGTGGGAGGTCTTTCTGTACGCTGTGAATATGTGTTGCTCTCATTGGTTGATAAAGCTGTTTGGCCAGTGGAGAGGCAGAATAAGGTTAGGTGGGACATTCAAACTGAAGACGGAGATGAGGAAGGGTGGAGTCAGGAGAGACTCGGCAGACGCCAAAGGAGCAAGATGCCAGAGCACTGGTAGGCCACGGGCCACTTTGCGATACAAAGATTAATAGAAATGGGTTAACTTAAATGTAAGAGCTAGCTGGTAATAAGCCTGAGCCGTTGGCCAAACATTTGTAACTAATATAAGCCTGTAAGTGATTATTTGAAAACGGCTGTGGCCCGGGACCAGGCGGGACAGAAAAAAGTCTCTGTTTACAGTCCCCATCTTAAAAAAAACTCCCAAAATTGGGCTGGCAAGATGACTCAGAAGGTAAGAGCACTTGTCATACAAACCTGAAGACCTCAGATCCCTGGCAACCACGGTGGAGAGAACCAATTCTTGAAAGTTGTCCTCTGGCCTCCATACACATACTGTGGCATGCAGATGTCATGACTTACTCGTAACATGGCATTAACACACACACAAACATACATCCACAGTAATAAACACAGATAATAAAGAACAAAATATGGTATATATATGCACAATGTCACCATGACACTTCCTTTTTTGTATGCTACACCCTACCCCTCAAAAAAAAAAAAAAAAAAAAAACCCGAAGGAACAAAAAGCAAAATGACAGCGTCATCAACAACGCCGCCTTACCATGCTGGTCACACAGAGCCATGTTGGGAAACACCAGCATGACACACAGGCTAGTTAGTAAATGGTGCGTCTTTAGGTTGTGATTTTGCTCTCCTTTGGGTTCTAAGTAAGCCTGATTATCATTTTCTCTAAGCACATGAGAGTATCTCGCAGCATCTCCTGGATGCCCATGCTCTCAGGAACTCTCAGGCAAGGGAAGAGCCATCTTGGGAAGGGGACTAGTCCCCACGCCACTTTGTAAATGCTCCTCTTGAGGGTTGACCTGTTTTTTTTTCCCACTTTCTATGGCCTGCCTGGGTCTGAGACTCTGAGCACATGGTTAACCACATGGTTGGGGTGTGGCCATTCACAGCTCTAGCCCTAAGCCAGTTCAACCAGTCCTGCTTTTATTAGATGGAGATCAAGTCACCTACACTTGTCACTCAACCATGAGGACCCAGAGGAGGGGCAGCACATCCAACCAGTGTTCTCCTGTGTGCTGCAGCTGACAAGGGTCTCCTAAGCCTCACAGCTCCACCCTGGAAGCTGGGATTGGCTGGAGAGGAAGCAGAAACAGAAAAGAGGCAGGTGACTTCACTTCCTGTGTTTAAGCAGAGCCTGTAAAGTTGGGAGCTTCCTTGCTAAGTTCCCAGCAGCAGCAGGACCCTGGAGGCTGGCTGCAGGGGGACCCTGGGCTGTGGAAGCTCCTCAGAAGCTCGCTGAGACCATTAATGTTGTAGGAGCTACAGCCTGGCTGAATGGATGTTGGAGTTAGTCAGTGAAATAAGAGCAGGCTGAGGGGCTGGAGAGATGGCTTGGTTGTTAAGAGTGCTTGTTGCTCTTGAAGGGATCCTTCACAAGCACCTGTAACTCCAGTAACTCCAGTTCCAGGGGATCCAACACCCTCTTCAGGCCTCTATGGGCACCAGGCATGCACACACACACACACACACACACACTTGCATATATACATAAAATAAAACACACACCCCCCCTTTTTTAAATTTGAAAAACAAAGCAGGCACAAGTGACTGGATGAAAAAAGTCAAGGGCCAAAGAGTTTGGACAGAGCAAATTGTTCAGATTTAGATTGTGGAACCACACAGGTATGAACGGACCTTCCTTCTCAGCGTGCAAAGAGAATCGAAGCACATCAGCCTCCATTCATCTCTCTCCCCAGCGTTTATTAAACCCCTAAGTCCCAGAGCAGACGGTCACCATGTTTGCACGACTTTGTCACGGACTAGCTGGCCCTGAGGCTCCGTGGCATCTGGAGGCAGGAGGGCCAAGTAGACAGGGGTTTCAGCGCCCTCCTCCACGGTCCTGGTGCCCTGGTCCCTCGCCATGTCGGTCTTCACCCATCCCGGGCAGCAGGCATTCAGCAGAATCCTGTCTGCTTTCCTCTTTTCATCCAGCTGCCGGGCCAGGATTCTTGAAAGGACTGTCACCCCCAGCTTGGACACCCCGTAGGCCGAGTCCGGCCAGCCTTCCCTCTCGTGGACCTCATTTTTTGTGTCCTCCACAAACTTCTTCATGAGGTCGACCAAGTCCCCCTCGGTGAGTGTGTCACACCGGAACCTTTCCTGAAGCTCCTCACTGCAGTTCTCAAGGGCCCGGGACCCCTGCAGACTGCTGAGGTTCACTACTCTCCCTGCAACAGACAACATGTATGTACATGCATGAGTGGACACCCCAAATAAATTAAACAAAAAATAAAGATAGAAAGCAAGTCTAGAAGACATACAGTCCATGCACCTGTGTGTGTGTGTGTGTGTGTGTGTGTGTGTGTGTGTGTGTGTGTGTGTGTATTCCAAGGGGACAGACACATCTCTACCACTGGCCACCAGGCTTTCCTTCCACAGAAATTCTATTCTACTGTTGCTGATTTAAGTTCATAAAAATTAGTAAAATGCATAAAATTCCAACTGCCTTTGAAAGGGCCCCAACATACTTCCGTCATTTTGTATTATGTATCGATGTGAAGAGGTGTTCTTGGCACTAATGGTTATAAAATCAAAATACCGATTGACTTTGGGAAATGTTGAAGATATGCTGCATCCTACAGCATCAAATGTTCAACTAAGATCAAAACTTCTGTGTAAATAAAGAAGTACATGCATCTCATTAGTATGCAAATTGGCCTTAATCTTAAATGGTAAAACTCTGTGTGTGTGTGTGTGTGTGTGTGTGTGTGTGTGTGTGTGTGTGTGTGTGTGTGTGTTTTCTTTTTGAGACAAGTCTTCTCTGTGTTGCCTTGGCTGTCCTGGAACTCAATCTCTAGACCAAGTTGGCCTTGAACTCACAGAGATCCACCTGCCTCTGCCTCCAGAGCACTGGGATTAAAGACGTGCACTACCACCACCCGGCTTCATATCTGCCCCCACCTCCCCATAGTCTTTCATTAGCTTAGGTTGGCTTCAAACTCTCCTTAAATAGCTGAGGGTTAGGGTTAGACATTAGAGTTAGGCCAGATCCCCCTGCCTCCACCTCTGGAATACAGGCATATGCCACCATACCCAGTGTATACATTACTAGGAATTGAACCTAGGACCTTGCGCATGCTAAGAAAGCACTCTACCAACTGAGCCACATCCCCAACTCTAAATGAATTGTTTTAAAAATAAATGTCTTGATGGTTCATTATCAGAAAATGTTGGCTTATATATCTATTTCATATTCCTGGTGTTGCATTAAATTTCCCTCAGAGTAAAAAGGTCACGGATGGAAAAGGTTTAAGCGGCCTTGCTTTAAAGATGATGGTATGTTAGGTCTGTAGGAGATCTGTAGCAGCTGAGGACCACCCAAAAGGGAACTAAAATACTGAATCAGGGAAGGAGTCCTTGGGATCACATCTGTTTTATGTTTTTCACAGCAAAGACACAGGAGCATATGTGGGACCACCCACAGCCCCAAAGTTAAAGAAACCACCCCAGGCAAGCACATCCTACTCACAGGCCAGGGCCAGCCTCCTGACAACTTGCTCAATCAGGATGGGATGCCCTATGCAAATTGGAATCCTCAGTCCCTCCAGTGTCAGCTACCTGCCTCTTCCTTTGTTCAGAGCGATGCCCCCCATCCAGGTAGAGCAGACACCCTTTAGCTGCCACTGTGGTTTTGTTTTTTAAGCAGCTGTCATAACAGGAAAGCTTCACCTATTACCCCCCCCCTATTCCTCCCCAACTCTCCCCCTCCCCCAGTCCAGACCCAGCTACTATTTCTAGTCCCAAGTCATCACGTCAGGTGACAGAATCACCAGGCAGCTCTATAAAAACCCCTCTTCCTTCGACACACATACTCCACCTCCTCACCACCTGCATCCCAAGGGGCCCTGCCCTTCTCCTTCGGGATTAACCTCCTCAGTTCCCTAAATTTGCATGGTTGGCTAGGGCTGAAGGCATCCCTGAGCTCCAAGTGCCTAAACCAGAATCGGGCCACGCCTGGGGGTGACCAGCCTAGTGATGACCACATCTACATAGGAGGGAGGCCTGTTCCCCACCCTGGTTCTGACTTCATTAATCTAAGTTAACCATAACATGCTAAGTAACCAATTCATGAACATGAATTGACATTCACGTTGACAAAAATTCACAGCTACTAAAGAGGCATTTGGGTTCATAATATAATTCCAGCACGTAGGGGGCTGAGGCAGGAGGACTGCTATGAGTTCAAGGCCAGCTAAACAGTTTCAGGTCTGCAGAGTCTACCCAGAAGGGAGGGAGGGAGGGCAAAGAAGAAAGTAAACAATAATTGTCGGAGCTGCTGGACGCCTTCGAGGAATTCTGATCCTTACGATGGGGAGTTGTCTGGTGTCCTCTTTGATCTGAGGGTACATGTGTGGGAGGCGCTGGGGTTGATTAAAGGTCAGCCTCATAACCAGATGGGGGGTGTGTGTGTCTCCATGCATCCAGAAACACTGCCCGCCTCTTTTTAGAGAGAACAGGCAAGTAGCTCCCTCTCGTGGCTTAATTGTTGCTTCAGTTATTATTTTTGTCTTGCGCAAGTAAGCAAGACCCATATTTCTTAAAAGTAATGTGCTAAAAGCTAGATAGAAAGTAAGAGGCCGTGATGGTTAGTACTGTGTCCCTCAGTGACCATACCTTTAGCAAAGTCAAATATTCTTTCTATACTATAAGTCAGATTTCTCTTTGGGAAGGAAATCACCAACTTAATTAATACATGGTTCCTCTTGTTCTTACACCCTGGGTTAACCCCAAACCCCACTCTCCACAGGACTTTCCTTTGTCTTTCAAAATAGCCTGGTTCACATTTGATGCTATGTGTATATATATATACATGTATATATATAATTTTTTTTCAAGAAAGGGTTTCTTTATAGCCTTGGCTGTCCATGAACTCACTCTGTAGACCAGGCTGGCCTCAAACTCTCAGAGATCCACCTGCCTCTGCCTCCTGAGTGCTAGGATTAAAGGTGAGCACCACCACTGCCTGGCTGATGCTATAATTCTTATTTCAGTAGAATGAATTGTATTTGATCAGATGGTGTAGGTCGTGTTGACCTCTAGAATCTCAGGCTCCTGAGTTTGGGGACTGCAGGTATGGAGTTCCTGTAGACTTTCTATGATCCTTGCAGGTTGGGAGTGAACAGGTGGGTGGGCAGGAATTCAAGTTCATCTCTTATCACACTTTTCAGATTGAAAATTTCTTACAGCTAAACTGATGTGGTGGTGCACCCCTAGAATCCTAGCATTCAGGAAGCAAAGGTAGGAGGGGGCATCAGAAGTTCAAGGCCAGCCTGGTCTACACAGCAAATTCAAGGATAGACAAGACTGTAGAGTGAAATCCTGTTTCAACACAACAACCACCACCAAACCAACCAAACAAACAAAAACAGAGAAAGAAAAATTCTTGTATCTTGAGTTAATTCTCATTCAAAATGTTTTAGATTTACTTATGTGTATGTATGAGTGTTTTGTCTGCAGTACGTATGTGCACCAAATGCATGCCTTGTGCCCAAGGAAGTCAGAAGAGGGTGTTGGATCCTCTGGAACTAGTTACTGATGGCTGTGAGCTATGTGGGTGATGGGAACAGAACCCACGTCTTCTGCAAGAACAAGTATTCTTAACTGCTGAACCATTTCTCTAGCTCTGAAAATTACACTTAAAAAACAATAGCCACAGGGTTTGCCCTCAGTATCACAGCTAATCTTGGCAAAAGAAAATCCTCAGAGAAGTGTTCTGCCCCCCCAGCACAGCTGCCCATTTCCCACGCTTAATTAATTAATGTTAATTAATCTCTGTATCCCAACTCAGCTCCAGGATCTGTGAATGAGATGGTCCTCATGTGTACGTCACCAGTACTGGTATAAATATTAGAGGGAAAATTAATAATCTATTGAACCCTCACAGGCTGGAGGTAGGGAGTTTCCCATCAAAGAGCATTTCTTTTGGATTCTCTCAGTCAGTTTACAACATCTAGAATAAAAACGTTCACATAAGTTTTCTGAAATTTTACAAAAGAAGAAAGGGGTAGGCTCATCCTTGCAACATCAGGGTAGGACTCTCAGACATCACAGACCTTTGGGGACAGGCTACATCTCGTGTCGGAGGGTTGAGCTCATGATCTGTCCCACCAAGTTCTGACAACCACAGCTTAAAGGCTCCATCGAGAAGCCAGACACTTTGAGAAAATAAGGCAGTTCTCTATCCCCAACTCAGGAACAAATAACAGCGCTGGTGATTCCTGTAGGTGATTCCTGAGGGATCTGTGGCTGCTTCCTGAGGGACACCAGTCCCACGCTGGACTTACCATGTGGTTTCATTATGGGCAGTAACTCAGTGCAGACATTTCTGGTGGCGAAAAAGTTTGTCTTCAGCGTCGTCTCAGCTTGAAGGTCGAAGGGTGTTGGATCATCCACTTTGAAAAGCATAAGAGAAAAAAAATGAATTACATTTCTCTCTGAAACTCTTATGAGACGGTGGATCCCATCACATAACAATTAAAGGAGAAGTAAGCTAAATTTAGAACAGTCTTGCTGGGCATGGTGACACTCACATCTGCAAACACACACACACACACACAATCTTACAATCTTTAAATTAAACGTTAATAGTTCTAAAGCTATTGTGAGCATAGGGTAAGAATTTTCTGGTCCACACACCAAGTTTCTCATCAGCAGTGTTCACGCCACACCTTAGGAACACCTAGTTTGACTTTCCCATCTCAGGCTTGAATATACATAGGTGGTTCCTGGGGACTGGGTGAAATGCAGGCTCTGATGCGGCAGGTGGTAAGACCTCAGTTTCTGTGTGGACAGCTGGAGCTCAGATATACCTATGCATCGCATCGCATCACATCGAATCGATCACACTTCCAGAAGCAGGAGCTTCCGGGGCCATCGTTCACAATCCCTCCTCCATCAGTGGCTCAGGGTTGCTGGGGTGGTGAACTCTTGCTTCCCCTTCTCGAAAGTCCAAGGACTGAGTTTGCCAATGCAGGCTGGTGGCGGGTATCCTTTGGTCTCAGGCAAGAAACCTGTGGCTGCTCAGGACCAACAGGACAGAGACTTCTGCTACATAATTGTCTCCGCCCCTTGTCAGTCTCACTTCTCCCAGCTTGTTAAGTGAAGCTGGCCTGTTTGTTTTTGCTCCCAGCACGTGACAAATAGATAATTTTATTAATTGAGCATTTGTTAGAGTAAATGATCTTGATTCCCTCCCCCCTTAAGGAAGATGCTTTTCAAAAGCACACTTGCATGTTTGATAACAAACCTTAGCTCCCAGGAGGAGGAGAGAAGCGGGGTTTGCTTCCTTTTTGCTAGAGCCTCTCAAAACGCTCCAATAAAGCCCGTAGGAAACCCACTCTCGTGCCAGCGCGCGCTAATTGTGTCTGGGCGACGCATTTCCTGTCCTCAGCAGATGTCCCCTGGCATCCATGAATGCGCCCTTGTTCCACGCGAAGCGAAAGCTCCAACCGCTTTTGGAAACCCCCTTTCTGAGAAAAGCCTTCGTGCGTGGGACAGAAAGCTGATGAGCTTGGCAAGGCGTGGCCCACTCCCAGGAGGCCGGTTTTCTTGCAAACAGGCGCAGCTGAAAGTTCCAAGGAGGGCCTCGGGCAGCGCACAGGCCAGCACAGGCCGCCGACCGACTGGGCAGGCTGGGCGTGGAGTGGGGCGCCTGGGCAGGCCGGCACCCGTGTCACCGCACCCGGGAACCCGCCTCGCAGGGTGTGAGCCCGGCGCACCCAGAGGGGATGGCGCAGCCCTCCCGGATCACCAACGCTCGCTGCCCAGCACCCTCGTAGAACCCCGGGCACCTCCTCCTGGAACCCCGCACCTACTTCTAAAGGCGATGCCCGCGTTGTTGACCAGCACGTTAAGTCCTCCGTACTCCCTGCGCAGAAAGTCGCGCAGGGCGCGGATGCTCTGCATGTCATCGATGTCCAGCTGGTGGAAGCGCGGGCTCAGGCCCTCCGCCTGCAGCTGCTGCACCGCAGCCTTGCCCCGCGCCTCGTCCCGCGCGGTGAGCACCACGTCCCCCGAGAACTTCCGACAGAGGTCACGCGTGATGGCGAAGCCGATGCCCTTGTTACCCCCGGTCACCAGCGCCACGCGGCTGCAGGACGACATCTCGGAGGGACACGCGGACCACCGGCTTGCTGGGCCGGCTGGGCAGCGGGCCACGCGTGGTCAGAACCGTGGCGCAGGGCTAAGTTCTGGGACCCGGCGCTGCGACTGCTGGAGAACAAGGCCCTGGGAGTCGGTCCCTCCCCTCCGAGGAGGGGCCATCTGTTCCCGAAGGGTCCGCCTCCTCCCGCACGCCCGCCGGAGTAGGGATACCGACTCGGCAGCAGAGCGTGTCAGGGACCTGCTCCTAAAGGAACCGTAAGGGATCAGCGGGACTTGTGGCAGTCGGATTGAAGCAGCTATTTTGGGAAAAAAAAAAAAAAAAACCTCAAAAGGAGGAAAACAAGTGCTACGTAATTTTCTTGGGCTGGAGCTCGTGGGCTGGAGACCGTCGTTTTCTGCAAAATGTAAATGCTTGCTTCTGCGAAACTCGCACTTGAGATTACCGAACACAGAACTACTGTAGAGCCGATTCCCGGCTGCTTGCTTTAGAGAACAGAGCCTGGGAGTAGGTTTAACAGGTGTGGGCGAGCTCTGCGCGACTGGAGCTCTGCGCGCCCCCACGTGGGAGAGCAGGCTGGTGTTTTCAGGACCATTTTATGTAATCCGAACACCTACAGGAGCCAGCAGCGCCAAGGCCGTTGGCTTTACCCAAGTGTACAGGAGTGTATAGATGGATAAGTATGGGTCTAGGTCGACGCAAATCCTCTCCCAAGAAGACTCTGAATTCAGAAGCAAAATTCCAGGCGCGCCTAAGTGTGGGCATGAAATTAGACCTCCTCCTGTCTTTAGTGGAATCCCAGTCTGTGTTGATCCTAGCAATTGGCTAGCGATTCGGGGTTTAAGGACAACTAAGTCCTCACGGTGATTCAGCTTTTCCCAAGCCGAGCCTGTCAAACTGCCCTGGCCTCTTGTTCCCGACTCCACCTTCTCTTTCAAAAGAACCCTGAGGACAGAAAGATGAGCTCCGTGGGGGCCTAGTGTGCCTGAGATGGTTAACTTGATAGATCCTAGACTCACCCAGGAGACAGACCAATGGGCATGTGAGGGACTTTCTCAATTAGGCTGACAGGGGTGGGAAGGCCCATCCTTAACGTGGGCAGGATGGGATGATGCGCTGAGGCTGTGGAGCTGGCTCAGTGGGTAAAGGTCATAAGGCCTAGAGTTCAAATCCCCAAGATCCACATAGGGCAGGGTGGCTGGTCTGTAATCCCAGCCTCTGGAAGAGATGGATGGAGGCAGGCGTTTGATGTCAGCCTCTGGCCTCTGCTCATAGGCACCCCCCCCCCACACAAACATGGTGGCACATACATGCACACACACATACACATGCAAAGAGAAACAACATAAGCCGGGCGGTGGTGGTGCACGCCTTTAATCCCAGCACTCGGGAGGCAGAGCCAGGCGGATCTCTGTGAGTTCGAGGCCAGCCTGGGCTACCAAGTGAGTTCCAGGAAAGGTGCAAAGCTACACAGAGAAACCCTGTCTCGAAAAACCAAAAGAGAGAGAGAGAGAGAGAGAAAGAGAGAGAGAGAGAGGACATGAGATGAGCCCGAGTGTCTGTTTCTCTCAGCTCCCTGACTACAGACAGTTCCACCATCTGTCTTATGCTCATGTCCTTATGATCCCACAACAGACAGGACCCTCAAACCATGAGCCAAAATAAACCCTTCCTTCTTTCCCTTCCTTCCTTCCTTCCTTCCTTCCTTCCTTCCTTCCTTCCTTCCTTCCTTCTTTCCCTTCCTTCCTTCCTTCCTTCCTTCCTTCCTTCCTTCTTTCTTTCCCTTCCTTCCTTCCTTCCTTCCTTCCTTCTTTCCCTTCCTTCCTTCCTTCCTTCCTTCCTTCCTTCCTTCCTTCCTTCCTTCCTTCTTTCCCTTCCTTCCTTCCTTCCTTCCTTCCTTCCTTCCTTCTTTCCCTTCCTTCCTTCCTCCTCCTTCCTTCTCTTTCTTTCCTTCTTCAGGGTGGGGGTGGGGGTGAGGCATGGTTTCTCTGCTTAGCCCTGGCTGTCCTGGAACTTACTTTTTAGACCAGGCTGGCCTCCAACTCACAGGGATCCGCCTGCCTCTGCCTCTCAAGTGCTGGGATTCCACTGCTTTCTCCCCTAAAGACCAGTGGGGATTTGGAGTGTTGTTCAGTGACAGCACACTTGCATAGCACACCCTCGTGAGTGCAAGTTCCTGAAGAGAAGCTGTGTCTTCCCTGAACAGAACTCCAGTGATGATAAATAAAGACCTCTTAGGAGCTATTAACTCAGCAGAACACTGGCTTCCACCAATCCAGGAGCTAAGGATGCTCTCAGACAGCCTCCTGGGCCTATAGCATAGCTCCTCCATCTCTTTGCAACCCACCTCTCTGGTGTACCCACCAATGTATTTTAAAGTTGTCTTGATTTATGACTTTCTTTGTTCTGTAAAACTGTAAAAACCTTCATGAAACTGCTTCCGAGTTGGAACAGGGAACTTGGGATAACCTAAACCTGTGTTCCCAAGCCATGGTCCCTCAATTCCTTAAGGATAAACTGTTTTGTTATGGAAATTATTTTAACTATGTAAAGATGTGTTACATTTGTTTAATGATGTAAGGATGTGTGTTCAATTATGTAAAGATGTGTTGCATCTGGTTCACCTTGCCTGCCTAAGGCACCTGATTGGTCTAATAAAGAGCTCAATGGCCAATAGCTAGACAGAGAGAGGTTAGGTGGGTGGGACTTGGGGGTGGGGGGAGACACAGAGAGGTCTCAGGGAAGAAGATAGGCATAGTAGCCAGCCTGAACACAGAGGGAGTAAGACATACAGGAGGAGAGGTAAAAGTCTTGACTCACATGGCAACAAGTAGATTAATAGAAATGGGTTAATTTAAGTTATAAGAGCTAGTGGGACAAGTCTAAGCTATAGGCTGAGCTTTTTAAAAAATTATAAGTAATAGTAAGTCTCTGTGTCATGATTTGGGGGCTGGCAGTCCAAAAAAGCCTGCTACACTGTCTCTTACTCCTTTTAGGATGAGAACTATGGGTTCTATTTATTCATTTATTTATTATTTATTTTTTTTTTTTGTTTTTTGAGACAGAGTTTCTTAACAGCCTGGCTGTCCTGGAACTCACTCTGCAGACCAGGCTGGCCTCAAATTCACAGAGATCCTCCTGCCTCTGCACTACTGCCTGGTTGAGAACTGTGGTTTTTAGGTCAACACCTGGTACTGGGGTGGGGGGAAGGAAATTTATGTTAAGTGCATACTCTGGGCCTGGTGAGATGGCTCAGTTGTGAAATTCCAGGAAGTTATTGGTTAGGGCTTGGTTCTCACTCTAAGATCTTTTTGTTTTTGTTTTTCAAGACAGGGTTTCTCTGTGTAGCCCTGGTTCTCCTGGAACTCCATTTGTAGACCAGGCTGGCCTTGATCTCAGAGATCTGACTGCCTGTCTCCAGAGTGATTAAAGGCATGCGCCACCACCACCTGCTCACTCTTAAGATTATTAAACAAGGGGAAAGGCACTTGCCACCAAGCCTGATGACTTGAGTTTGATCCCTGGGGTCAACATGGTGGAGTGAAAGAATTGACTCTTGCAAGTGGTTCTTACACACACACACACACACACACACACACACACACATACACACACACACACACTCATGCGCACGTGAGTGAAATAAAAAATGTAATAATTTTTTTAAAACAACAGAGTTCTATTTAATTTTTCCCTCCTTCCCTCTCTCCCCCCTTCCCTTCCTAGATAAGATCTCTTGTTGCTTCCCCAGGTGACCTTGAGCTCAGCTGAGGATGACCTTGAACTTCCTGCTGGAATCACAGACCTGCATCACCTTGTTTCTTTCTGAGTCTTATTTTTCTGACACAACACTGATGTTTTGTTTTGTTTTGGAGATAGGGTCTCACTGTGTTTCCCTGGTTTGTCTTGAACTCCTGGTTCCAGTAATCCCCCAGCCTCTGTCTCCAGAGGAGGCACTGGTTCCACAGACACACACCACTATCAGACTTTCCATCTGTCTGTCCTCTTTACATATCTGGCAAAGATTTAACACTTTCAAGAGAAAATTTCCCAAGGAACCAACTTTTGCATTCCTTAATCCTCTTTTCTCCATTTCCCCTGATTAGTTAAATTTTGTTTTTGATTTCTACTTCCTGCTTTTTGCTTACTGTGGGTTTTATCCGCTTATTAGTCCCTTGAAGCGGAAGCCATGGTTGCTGGTTTGAGATGTTTCCTCTTTTAGTAGCATTCTTAAAAACTGCTTTGCTTTTGGGTTTGGGTGTTGGATCTAGAGCCAGAGCCCAGTGCAGACTAGGTAAGCACTCTGCTGCTGAGCTGTGCTATCAGCCCCTTCCAGTCTGCCTTTGGATACCTTTTTTGACGAACGTTATTCAGAGAAAACTTTTAATTCCAAACTATTTAGTTAGGGTTCTGGCTATTTTTCTGTTGATGTCTAACAATTTCATTTGTTATGAAATTAGAGACGCCAAACTCTAATGGCGTCGTTTAAAAAGAGTACACTACCTATAGACTGTCAAGAAAGGAGGATGAGGCAGGGGCGTGGGTTCAGATCAGGAGTTCAGACCAACCTTGGCAATGCAACATAGCAATATTTTCTCCCTCCCCCCCCCCTCCACCCACCCTCCAGCCCCTTGTTATGCTCTCCAGTATGCTCTGGAATTTGTCATCTTCTCTCCTTAGTCTCCCAAGTTCTGAGCTTACAAATCTGTGCCCTCATGCCTGAGAAAACCTGTCTCTTAAAAGAAAAAAAAATCTTTCAAAAGCTAAGAAATACTAAAGAGTGTTTTATGTAATGATAATTATTTCAGAGAAATGTAAAAATTAGCAGAGACAGAATAATTGGAGAACAAAATGTGTGGGAAGACAAAGAAAGTTGCCGGTTCCAGGTGTCCCGTGGAAACCTCAGCAGGCTGGGTCCCTGTCTGCTGGGAAGTGGAAGGGAAGCTGTGGGGCAGACACGCAGTCCTAGCATGGGTCCTACCACGGACACAGTCACGTGCATATTTTCCAAAGAGAAATGTGTTCTTGTGGTTTAACAAAACTTCCCATTTTGTTACCATGACAACGATGTGTTTCATTAAGACGTTTCTGTACATGCATACCACTCTGCTCATTTCCACCCCAGTACTCTCCTGACCCCACTTCCTTTTGCTCCTTCTCCCCGCAGTGTGCAGTCCCCATCCTACTTCCTGTCCTACATAGACCAACCTGGTCTCTGAGTAGAGAAAATGGGTCACGCTCTTGTACATGGCTTATTTCACTTAACACGATGCTCTTCCTCCAATTCTGCTCATTTTCCTGCAAATGATACCATTTCATTCCTCATGGCTAAATAAAACTCCACTGTGTACAAATGCCACATTTTCTCTCTCCATTTGCCTGTGTGTGGCCATCTAGGCTGGTTCCCTGTCATGGCTATTGTGAGTAAGGCCTCAGTAAACATGGATGTCTAAGAATCTCTGCTGTATGCTGACTAATATTTCTTCAGGAACAGTCCCAGTCACAGTATAGCTGGGTCATATGATAATTCTATATCAAGTTTTTTTGGAGGAACTTCCTATTCTCTGGAGGGTTTTTAATTAATATGATGAACTTCTTAACTTGTCTTTGTTCTCATTGAGGCTATGATTACCCCCGCCTCCCAGCCTCCTTCTGTGTCTGCCTTCCACAAGGTCTCATGTAGCCCGCTTAGACCTCATGAATTCAGGGATCACAGATACACTCCACTGCTGTGGATATCGTTCTGTATAAATAAACACTGTTTGGCCAATAGCCAGACAGGAAGTATAGGCGGGACTAACAGAGAGGAGAATTGAGGAAACAGGAAGGGAAGGGAGAGATTGTTGGAGCCGCCACCAGGACAAGGAAGATGTAAGGTACTGGTAAGCCACGAGCCACGTGGCAAAGTATAGATTAATAGTAATGGGCTGAATATAAGAGTGAGAGCTAGACAATGATAGGCCTGAGCTAACAGCCAAGCAGTTTATATAATATAAGCGTCTGTATGTTTATTTTATAAGTGGGCTCTGGGACTGGCGGGACCTGGCAGGAGCTGGAGAGAAATTCTCCAGCTACACTCCGCCTTACCTAGAGACCGGCTGTGTTTCTTAATCGTAGAGTAAAAACTGAGTCCTAACCAACAGCCTGCTGTATTGAGGCTCTCTTTTGAGACTCCTGCTGTGTGTCTGTGGAACTGGGTGCCCACAGATAGTCCTTCACCTGCACCATTCAGTCGAGGTTGGGTACAGGGCATGTTCAGGAGTGAAGCTCCCTGCCCCGGGGCTGCTCGCATCTCTGCTATTTTCTGTGTGACTCTGGGCAAGATTCCCAGTCTCCCAGTGCCTCAGTTTTGCTCCCCTGAGATGATTGTAGTGCTGGGTTGAGTGACAGCTGTAAGTTCCTACTATAAACATGCTGGGGTGGGGTGGTGGGTGGTGTCTCAGCTGGAAGAGCACTGGTTGTTCTCCAGGGGACCTGTTTTTTATTCCCTGCACCCACACTATTGCTCACACTCATCTGTAACTTCATTCCCATGGGCTCCATTGCCTTCTTTTGGCCTATGTAAGCATCAGGCATGTACATGATGCACAGACATAGATGTAGGCAAAGCACCTATATACATGGAGTACATTTTTAAAAATTAAAGGTAGATGCTGAATTCTTGGGTCATGTCTCCTTTAAGCTGTTTTGTAGACAAAATTCTGGTGACATCAGACAGCTTCCATGCTCCAAGAATGAGTAAGAAAAGGTTTGACTAGAAGGTTCCTTCTTTCACAGAATTATTTCAGAATCCATGTGCCGAGTTGGTGTCCTAGTTAGGGTTACTCTTGCTGTGATGAAACACCATGACCAAAGCAACTTGTGGAGGAAAGGGTTTATTTGTCTTATGCTTCCATATCACTGGTTTTCATTGAAGTGAGTCAGGGCAGGAACCTGGATGCAGGAGCTGATGCAGAGGCCATGGAGGAGTGCTGCTTTCTGGCTTGCTCCTCATGGCTTGCTCAGTCTTCTTTCCTTCCCGCTCCCTTCCCTTCCCTTCCCCTCCCCCTCCTCCTCCCCCTTCCTCTCCCCCCTTCCCCTTCCTCTCCCCCCTTCCCCTTCCCTTCCCCTCCCTCTCCACCTTCCCCTCCCTTTCCCCCTTCCCTTCCCTTTCTCTCTTGTTTTTTGAGACAGGGTTTCTTTGTGTAGCCTTGTGTCCTGGAACTCACTCTGTAGATCAGGCTGGCCTGGAACTCACAGATCTACTGCCTCTGCCTCCCCAGTGCTGGGATTAAAGGTGTGCGCCACCACTGCCTGGCTCAATCTACTTTCTTATAGAACCCAGGACTGGGCCCTCCTACATCAATTACTAGTTAAGAAAATGCCCTACAGGCTTGCCCACAGCCCAGTTTTATGGAGGCATTATCTCAATTGAGGTTCCCTCCTCTCCAGTGACTCTAGCTTGTATCAAGTTGACATAAAACTCTCCAGCACAGTTGGCAACTTCAGACATAACCAAATTGGTGCTGGAGACAATCCATCTACAAGGAGACATCTGCGGATGAGGACACCCGCTGAAGCATACAGCCCTGGGATCTCATCTATGGCAAACGCTGACCAAACACAGATGCTTCCCAGTTTCTCATTTAAGCTTCCGAGACATGGCAGACATACGGTGGTGTTTGGGAAGATGAAAGCTGGCAGGAGCACCCTGTAAGCCACGGGGCACTTTGTGTCCAGGAATGTCAAAACCAGCAAGAAGGTCACCATTGCCAGCTGTGGACAATGACAGCACTTTTCGTGGGGAGCTTAGACAGCCCTGAGTGAATATATATTGTTTGATACGGGTATGGCCATGTCAGGAACCAAAGCCTCAGACTCCCGGGAACTAGGCAAAGCTCTCTTGCCAG